AGAAATAAACCAAAATGTGATTAAATTAAGTCTAATATTCCAGGTTTAGCACTGCTGTCTTGCTTGTCTGAAATGGTACAGTGTTGCAAACAAGCCATAAAGCTGCTTAATATAACGTGTCTGTGTTGCATCACAATGGCACATTGTTGAATCTCACCCAGTTCTTTATTTGTAAGAATAAATTGTACCAAAACTTAGGATTCCAATAAGAGGTTTTTTTGAAGTCTTCTAATATTTAAATTGTTGCAGTGCTTGCAGTATTAAGTTTGTTATTCATCAAGATATAATTGTTAGATATGCAGGTATAATGTGAATTAAATTTTCCACCTTTCTGCTCTCAGCAGCACTTCGGTGCAGAGTGCAGTACTCACACTGCCAAAGCAGATAGTATGGAAGTGAAAATTTCCTATTTTTTTCCCCCTCCTGATTTCATTACATTTGATACAAAATGTAGCAGTGGATGATAGGGTTACTTCAGAGTTTGTGGGTAAACATTAGATTTGACTTTACTCTGGACTATTTTACCTGTCATCATCTGGATTATGTAACAGTACAGTACACATGGTGTATCATCATTTAGATACGTATTTAAAAGAAGGCGTTCTGCGTACTGTGCCAAGGTGTGTAATTGTAGTGTAGATTCACCTTTAATGCAAACAGAATTGAGGACAGTGGTAGATTTCTGATTTCCTTTCCTGCCGTTAAAAATCTTCAGTGCAGTTTCTTTTCAAAAAAAAAAAACCAAAAAAACCCATCTAACAATATGTCTTTATTTGGGTTATTTTTCACTTTTTAGGGATTGGAAGTCCTTCTATTAATTGATGCAGTCATAGGAATCTATTTTGTGTTCTGAAGCTATAATTGTATCATAAGAACACTAGAAGTGCTTGAAAAACCTGATGTACTTTTTTTTGCTTGTATAATTTTAAGCTTTTCTTTCTGTAATTTGGTAAAGAAAACAAACAAAAAAATCAGTCTCACAGCCAGGACCTTGTATGCCATGTTTCATCCCAGTTGGAAGATTGATGGGCAAGTTATAAACCCCTGAAATAGTGGTTTATAATGGAAATGCTGGCAGCCCTTTAACTATAGCAGCTCAAGCAGTGCAGCAATAAATACTATACTTCATCTGTAAACAGAAATTTAGGATGCAGTTTGCAGCCTTGACCTTCAGGCTCCAACTGTGTTTAGATCATTAAGATTCCATAAATACTGTAATTTACAGCCTTCTGAAGGAAGAATTTGTGTGCACAGTAAAGCACGTATTCTTCATGAAAAAATGATTGCTTCCTGTATACCCATTTGGACTCATATTCTCAACCTCAATCAAAGTACTTGACAAATTTGCTGAAGTTTAGGCATCATTTTTAGGCTTGTGTTTGTCCTAATTCACAGCTCTCTGGATCTATACTATGTTTTCTCTTCTAGAGCTTGAATTAGAAAGAACGGTGGATTTTTTGCTTTGTTGCAGGAGGTGGGTTGCAACCTACTTGTGCTTGTCCACTATAGGGGAATAAATATATGTTTTTCTGTATCTTTTTTTCTATGGTACTTTACATATGTACTTAAATAAACCAGTTGCCTCATTCTAGTCAATGCCATAGGGCAATATTCGGGCATAATTGATGCATTATTCATCTGTAATGAGCACTAAAATTTTTCAAAGTTACGAACAGAATTAAAATTAATTTTTGATAATTATATTAGGATATCCTGACTAAATTTAAGTAGTGATGATTGGCAGGCTGTTCAATACAGCATAAGTGAACACTGTAGTCCCAATGATTATCCTTCTTACCTGAACTTCATGACATTGAACTGAAAATTTGACAATAGCATACTTTCCCCATCATATTCTATTTTCAGCTGAGAAGGAAATATACACAAGTACAGCTTTCATCAGGGTATTTTAGTCTTACCCAGAAATTTAGGCAGAATGAAAAATAACAGGTTGAGAAATGTTATCCTGCTTTGCAAAGATTACCCTGGGGCTTGATTTCGGGTTAGGACAAAATCTCAGTTTTATTGTACCTGAAGAATTTCTGTGATTCCCAGTGGTAACCCCGGGTAGACTTTCTACTTCCCAAAATAAATATTCAGGAACAAAAGAGGATAGCTGTTGGGTTTTTTCATTTCTCTGCCTTTGCTTCTTGTAGCGTAATCATAATATTGATAATTTTGTCATTTATATTTTGTCATTATTTTAATGGAATAATCAGTAGAAATTTGTATATGTTTGTTTCTTTCCTCTAGCCATTTCTTACTTTCCACTCTTACAATCTATACCTGTGCTGAACATTTTATTATTGTTTATTTATTATTAGTATTATCTGATGATCATATTTGGCTACTAATAACCATAGTTTACACTGCAGTGGCATGCACGAAGCTAAGGTAAGAACAGAGATTCCATTACATTAGGCACTGGCTGGTGTCATTAAAAAAAAAAAAAAAAGTCTCATGTATATTGAATTCTCTGAGATGGTCAGCCTCAGCAGAAATATAAGATGATTCTATAAGTGCTGATATATAGTAAGAAACCCCCAAAATCTTACCCTCATCAGCATTCAATACAGTACATGTAGTTGCCTGCTGGAGTCGGGAGTAGATGCTTTATCTCTGTAGTCTAAGCAAAGGGTGCTTCAGCCATACATAAACATAGATCGAAGCAAAGACCTGAGGCTGTTTCCCTCCAGTGAAAGCGACTTGTCTGATAAGGTCAAGGAAGCACTCACCGACACCGGTTCTGATAGTGATTAACCAAATCTCTACATGACTTCTGAGAAAGAACAAAATTAATTTCTGTAAGTGAGTGTTTCTAAGTTAGGTAATGGGGCAAATGTGTCAATGCTGAGCGACGTGTCTCCTTTTTGTCACTTTCCTGAGCATCTTTGTCTTTTGTGCATCAGCTAATCCTTAAAACTCTTAGACTCTAAAAGTCCGCTGTTGTATTTTGCACGCTTTTCCCTCTACGAAAATATCTACTGAAACACTGACACCTGTAATATCATGGATAACAAGACAGCACACATCTTCCTGGTGTTACTAAATATTGAGCTCAAATCTTATGTTTGCCTAGACTGAGTAAGACCATTCCCCCTGTTCCTTGTATATTTTATTATATTTCTTGTATTTGCTGATCACCACAGCCTCTGACAACCTGTCAACCTAATGTATCTGTCAAGTCTGTGTGCGTGCTCCTTAGGCATTCACACGGAGAGCTTGTGTCTTTTTGTTGAAAGGCACAGCACTTCAATGGCATTGGAACAATGAACATTAATATTGCAAAGAAATTAGGTAGTCAAGTAAACTTCATGGAGTATCAGGCAGAGGACACTCAGTGCAGTAAGATGTGCTCTCTTACTGAAAGTTTTTGATTTCTTCAGGTTCATGTCTAATCTTCGCATTTCATGGATGCTGTTGATACTAGATGGATCCAGTAGTAAGGATGCAGGGTT